AACAGAAAAGGAAACTAACAATAAAGTGAAGATATCCAACAGAATAGAAAAAATTATTTGCAAGCCATCTATATGACAAATAACTAATATCCTAATATATCATCAAAAACTCAATAACAACAAAACAATCCAGTTGAGAAATGGACAAAGGACTTCAATAGACAGTTCTACAAAGAAAAAATACAAAATAACCAAAAATATATAGAAAATGCTCAACATCACTAGCATTCAGGGAAATGCAAATCAAAACCACAAAACCTCACCTGTGCCAGAATAGCTAAAATTCAAAAACACAGAGTAACAAATGTTGGCAAGGATGTGGACAAAGGAGAACACTTACATACTGTTGGTGGGAATGTAAACTAGTACAGCCACTGAGGAAAACAACGTGAAGATTTCTTAAAAAAACTAGAAATGGACTTGCCATATGATCTAGCAATCTTACTACTGGGTTTATACCCAAAAGACTTGGAAACAATGTATCAAAGTGATACCTGTACCACCATGTTTATAGCAGCACTGTTCACAACAGTCAAAATTTGGAATCAACCAAGGTGTTCATCATCAGATAAGTGGCTAAAGAAAATGTGTTATATATACAAAATGGACTATTATTCAGCTATGAAAAAGAATGAAATTTTACCATTTTCAACAAAATGGAAGCAATTGGACAACATCATACTGAATGAAAAATAGCTGGATCAAGAAAGACAAATACCTCATGTTTGCCGGCACCGCGGCTCACTAGGCTAATCCTCCGCCTTGTAGCGCCGGCACACCGGGTTCTAGTCCCGGTCGGGGCGCCGGATTCTGTCCCGGTTGCCCCTCTTCCAGGCCAGCTCTCTGCTGTGGCCCGGGAAGGCAGTGGAGGATGGCCCAAGTGCTTGGGCCCTGCACCCACATGGGAGACCAGGATAAGTACCTGGCTCCTGCCATTGGATCAGCGCGGTGCACCGGCCACTGCACGCTGGCTGTGGCAGCCACTGGAGGGTGAACCAACGGCAAAGGAAGACCTTTCTCTCTGCCTCTCTCTCTCACTGTCCACTCTGTCGGTCAAAAAATAAAAAAAACCTTGAGTTAAAAACAGAAATTGCAAAATAAATTGCATGTGGACTTAAAAAAAACCAAAAACCTCATGTTCTCCCTTATGTATGGGAGCTAAGATTTAAAAAAAAAAAAAAGAAAGAAGAAAGAAATATCTGTATGTATCAGAACTGCTGCAAATATGGCTTTGTAAACCTTTGTTTTATACCTTTGTCAAATGAATGGTTAAAAATGTTATAGTAGGGGTGGCGCTGTGGCACAGCGGATTAATGTCCTGGCCTGAAGCACTGGCATCCCATGTGGGTGCCGGTTCAAGTCCCGGCTGCACCTCTTCCAATGCAGCTCTCTGCTATGGCCTGGGAAAGCAATAGAAGATGGTCCAAATCCTTGGGCCCCTGCAAACACGTGGGAAACCAGGAGGAGGCTCCTGGCTCCTGGCTTCGGATCAGCACAGCTCTGGCCATTGCGGCCAATTGGGGAGTAAACCAATGGAAGGAAGACCTCTCTCTCTCGCTTCACCTCTCCTCTCTCTGTGTAACTCTGACTTTCAAAGAAATAAATAAAAATCTTTAAAAATAGTTATAGTAGATCTTCATTATGTTCTTAGAATTGTTATCTACAAATCACATTGAATTTGTTAAAAACTAAAAAAGAATATTATACTACTATAGTTTTGGTGGTCTGTGACAACTTCAAAATTTACTATATATGGGTGAACTGGTCATTTTTCCATTCAATTATTGCTGATAGCCATTGTTTATATTCCTACTAATCTAGGGTTTTTTTTCTTTTTTACTTATTAAACTTATTTGGTGAAGTATTAAGCCTTTTCAACTGTAATGCAATTTAAAATGTTATCTCAAAAACTAAAAAAAAAAAAAAGAGAGAGAGAGAGAAAGGAAAAAGAAGAGTAGGAGGAAGAGAGTGGGAGGGAAGGAGCAGGGGAGGGAATATCATCATTGTATTCTTAGAATTGTATCTGCAAGGATGTACTTTCCTCTGAAGGGAGGAGAGAGCTTCCATTTTGCCTATGGCCCTGTTGAAATACTGAAGGAGTTTGTGGATCCAAAAATGCTTCCATAATAGCTTAGGCAGCTCATGTCAAGCGCCTAGGGTGATCACTGATGTCATACATAAGAGTGTTAATTATTAAATTAATAATTAGGAGTCATAGTGCACTAACTTCCCATGCAGGACCTCTGTCCTCAAAGAGCTGCGTTATGAGACTTAATAGTGAAACTTGTTCTCAAAGAAGTAATTCCTTTTAGTGTATTAAGTGGAGGATATTCTTATGTCACACAAATTATAGTTATGTCTAAGTACTCCCAAAAGATGTAGCATTCTTGGGTTCTTCTTTAATGATAACTAAGTTTCAAAAAAAAAAAAAAAAAAGTGAAATTACCAGCCCTTGTATGGGCTGTTGAGGAACAGCTTTTGTTCTTGTGTATTTTATGTTTTATTCACAGTTTTTTTGTTTTGATTTTTTTTCTCATACAAAGTGCTGAGCTCTTTACCTAGAATAGAGTTAATCTACTGTGTATAAAGTTAAATGAAAATAGATCTTAGTAAAAAATAGCACTGGGAACAGGAGAAGAGGAGGAGGGGTGGGAGGGCAGGTATAGAATTACTATGTTCCTAAAGTTGTATTTATGAAGTGTATGCAAATAAACTGTTAAAAACCAATTAAAAATTAAAAAATAAAAAGTAAAAACACTATCAATTGGAATGGAGAGTAGTGAATGGATTTGTGATGCAAGTAATAAGTATAATTAGGAAGATTTATTGACCGGAAAGGAATGAGGAACCTGGATAAATTATTTGTATTTGGGAAATTAAGTAGATGGTGGCATCATTAATTGAAATAAGGATTAAAAAAAGGAAAGATGTTGTGGGGAAGGGGGGAATGAAATTTTTGTTTTGAGACCTTGAGAAAATTACATGGTGTCCGTGAGTCAGAAGATTAAACAACAGAATATGTGGGAAACCATTTATCACTTTGTAATGATAGGAAATCAGTGTGTTTCCTTTCTTCTAATTATATCTCAACAATGTTCACTGTCACTAAAAAATCCCAATTTATTAAATAATAACATTCACTAAAAGGCATTGGAAGAATTCCAGAAACAGTGGTACTTTTGTTGAGTGAAAGACCCTGCCTCAGAATTGAAATAAAGTTTCAGGCTCAAATAAATCTATATTTTCACTATCATTTGAAGAAGGTAGATAATTTATCTATTGAAAGACTATGCATAAGAAATCATAAAAAGTCAACTAATAGTTTTTAAGTATTTAGCATTCTGTATTTCCTATGAAGCAGATAGATAAGTGAAAAGCAATTTAGATCAGAAGAATACAGTATAAAAAAGATTTTCAATTGGAAGGACAAAAATGTATGCTTCAGATACTATAGTATTAACTTCAGAGGACAGTGAGAGCATCATAAACTAAATTGGTTAGGAAGTCTTCATGAAGGAAGTGCTTCAAAGTCTGTGCTTAAATGGGCTGGATTTTGGAAAGCAGAGCAAAAAAAACCCCACAATTTTGTTCACTGGAAATCAATGTAAGCAAATCATGACGCAGAATGGAATATCAAAATTCAATGGCAATGTATGAGTGAACTTCAAAATTTCATAGAAAAGGTGTATAATGAAAAATGTGTGGATTTTAATAATTTTTGGTGCAGAAGGATAAGCTGCAGTTTGAGACACTGCATCCCACATCAGAGTGTCAGTTTGATTCCTGGTTCTTCCTTATCTGATCCAGCTTCCTGCTAATGCACCTGGGAAGACGCAGGTGACAGCCCAAGTTCTTAAGTCCCTGCTACCCATTTTGGAGATGCCAGGCTCCTGGTTTCAGCCTGGCCCCAGCCCCAGCCATTGCAGCCATCTGGGATGGAACCAGTGGATGGAAGATCTCTCCCTCTCTTGCTCTCTCCTCCTCTCTAACACTGCCTTTCAAATAATAATTTGAAAAAATCTCAGAACAGAGATATATTATGAAAAACAACTGAGCAAGCCCTTAATTAATTCTGTAGCAAAAATTTCTTTGTTGAACACCTAATTTGAGAATTGTGAGAGTACGGGTACTACTGTGGTTTGTGGATATACTTACTATAGACCTGAAAGGCTCCTGATCAGACAGATAAGACTGTTTTTCCTTTATTCTTTACCAGAATCCAGGGTTGAAGAAAAAGCATTCATTCAAAATAGTAACTTTTTTTTTTTTTTTTTTTTTTTTTGGACAGGCAGAGTGGACAGTGAGAGAGAGAGACAGAGAGAAAGGTCTTCCTTTGCCGTTGGTTCACCCTCCAATGGCTGCCGCGGCTGGCGCGATGCGGCCGGCGCACCGCGCTGATCCGATGGCAGGAGCCAGGAGCCAGGTGCTTTTCCTGGTCTTCCCATGGGTGCAGGCCCAAGCACTGGGCCATCCTCCACTGCACTCCCGGGCCACAGCAGAGGCTGCTTGCAGAGGCACCGGGACAGATCGGCCGGACAGACTAGAACCGTGTACGGCGCCGCTAGGCGGAGGATTAGCCTAGTGAGCCGCGGCGCCGGCCAAAATAGTAACATTAATGTATAGTTTTGAAATTTCAAGACATGTACGGGATATGAGCAAGGGTAGTGATGATTTCCAATGTAAAACTTCTTAGCAATTTTCCAATTAGGCTACAAATCTGAAATTACTTGAGGATTGGTACATTAATAACTGCTTCTTCTCCCATGACTGATGAAATACTCCAGATGTAAAAATCTTTACATTCCGGCCATTTTTTAAAAATGTGAATATATTGCTTGATTCTAATGAAATATTTTATAAAAAAAATTTGGTTAGGAAGAAAAAAACTCTAAGAACCAATCAAGAAAAACTAATTTCATTACAGAGTTCTTACCTGTATTGATATGTACATAAAATCAAGAATTTTCTTAAAATGAGAAAAATTTTCTTCAAATACTTACCAGAAATGGTATTATTTGAAAAGTATTTTTGATAGATGAATGTTTGCCCATGGTTTCTTGTAGATCTGAAATATTTATACCACAATACAAAAATAATTTAGATATATGTATTCAAAGAGAATGACTTAAGAAGTATTAAATTCTGATGCTTCAAATATTCAAAATTTATTTTTCTATTCTAGAAACAATCTTCATATTTATATTAGGTTTGAAAATAAAAGTAAATTAGAAACAACTACATAACATTTATGTCTATAAAAGGGAATGCCTGATACTTTGACTATTATACAACAATCTTTATTCAAATATTACTTTTCTTTCAGTTTTTTAAACAAAAAGTGAATTTCATCCCTTGACCTCTCAGGAAAAGAAAGATATTTATTTAGATAGTGAGGTATAAAATTTGAGATATTTGGTCAACACTTTTCTTTTAATTTTCTAGGCTTTTCTCCATGTAATACCAAGTCTCTGAGCAAGAGAAAAAGAGTAAAAAAAATTCAGGCAAAATCTTTTTATGTGAAACTTCATCTGCCTAATTTTACATTTTAATTCTTATAACATTAGTTCTGTGTTGCTTGTGATGATCACTTCTCGACTTTCTTAATATATTCATTTTAAATATGCTTTTAATTTTAAATTAACATAAAGAGTATATAAAAGTCATATTTTAATTAATAATAATGAAGCTAGTGTCTGGGTAACCACATGGATTAAGAAATTTGAACATTATTACTGCTTCAGAAGCTTCCTTGAGCTCCCTGCCTGCTCCACACTGTTCAGATTTGTGTTCTCTTCCCTCACCCATAGATGTACCCAACCCACTACATTGACTTTGTAGTTTTAGCACAGATACATATACATCTCCAAGATAATCCTGTTTAGTTTCACATGTTTTTTGGATTCAACATAGATGAAATTGCACTATTTGTATTCACCTTTATTTACATATTTTTGCTCAAATTAAAAAATTTCTAGTTCCATCCACAGTAATCTGTTTAGTTGTAATTTGTTCTTTTTCTTTTTTTTAAGATTTATTTTATTTATTTGAAAGACAGAGTTACAGAGAGAAATAGATACAGAGAGAGAGAGAGGTCTTCCATCTTCTGGTTCACTCCCCAAATCGCTGCAAAAGCCAGAGCTGGGCCCATCTAAAGCCAGGAGCCAGGAGCTTCTTCCGGGTCTCCTGTGTGGGTACAGGGGCCCAAGCACTTGGGCCATCTCTCGCTGCTTTCTCAGGCACATTATCAGGGAGCCGGATCAGAAGCAGAGCAGCTGGCACTCAAACCAGCACCCATATGGGATACTGGCACTGCAGGCCGGGGCTTTAACTCACAGTACCACAGTGCTTGCTCCATTTGTTCATTTTTATCACATGAGTTTACTAAGTTCAGAAGTTTGTAATTTTTTGGTTTTATAAGCCAGTGATTCTATATACTTATATATGTTTCCTGACACACATGTGCAGTATTTTCTAGGAGCAAAGCTGCTGGGTTTTAAGGTATGCTTATGCTCAACTTATTAGATGAAGGTAAAACATTTCCTACAGATGTCATACCAATTTATACCCCACCAGCTTTACAAGAAAGCTGCTATTGCTGTACCTATATATTTTAAAGCTTTTATTTAATGAATGCAAATTTCATAGGTATGACTTTAGGAATATAGTAGTTATTTCCCCCACGCCCACCCTCCTACCCCCACTCCTATCCCACCACCTACTTCCTCTCCCATCACATTCTTCATTAAGTTTCATTTTTAGTTTAATTTTATATACAGAGGACCAACTCTATGCTAAGTAAAGATTTCAATAGTTTGTACACACACACACACACACCATATAAAGTAGAGTTTGAGAACAAGTTTTGCAGTTAATTTTTAAAGTACAACTCATTAAGGATGGAGGTTCTAAATAGGAAATAAGTGCACAGTGACTTTTGTTGTTCATTTAACAATTAACACTTTTATTTATGACATCAGTGATCACCCAAGGCTCTTGCCATGAGCTGCCAAGGCTATGGATGTCTTTTGTGACCACAGACTCCGTCAGTATTTGGACAAGGCCATAAGCAAAGTGTAAGTTTTCTCCTCCTTTCTGAGAAAAGCACATCCTTCTTTTATGGCCCCTTCTTTCCACTGGGGTGTCACTCACAGAGATCCTTCATGTAGGACATTTTTTGCCACAGTATCTTGGCTTTCCAGGCCTGAAATGCTCTCACAGGCCTTTCAGCCAGACCAGGAAGCCTTAAGGGTTGATTCATCTTAACCAATACATATTATTATCAGCTTTTAAACAGGTGCTTATCTGGTGAATATGTAACAATATCTCATTTTAATTTGTATTTTTATATGACAAATGAAATTGAATATCTATGTTTATTTTCAGTTATATTCTTGTGAAGTTCCTTTCAATACTTCCTCTGCAGCCTCACATTTCTATTGGGTATCCTCTTTTTCTAATTGATTTATGGATTTCTTTATATATTTGAATGAGTCCTTTATTCTATGTGTCATAAATATTTTCTTTTACCTTCTGTCACAGGTAAGCAAATATTCATATCCTGGCTTTCCTTGTAAGTTTTTAATCTTTACTTGAATGTCAGACAACTTGGTTGTGTTGTCTTCAGCTTTCTTGGGGTTCAAGAAAAACGACACTTTTGTTTATATGCTTTTTCTCATTTAGAGGTGGGATTGATATATTCTATCCTTTTGCACTTTCTTTCTACACAGAAATGGAATACACACTGCTATGGTTTGTCTCCCTGAACTCACGTAGTTTAAAGCTCAAAGGCCCTGAGAGGATGGAAACAAAGCAATTATAGTGTACAGAGGTATGGTTTTTGGTAAGTGACTAAGATTAGATTAGGTTGTTAGGGTGAAGCCCTAATGATTGAATCCTGGTGCCTCTCTAATGAGAAAGACATACACACGCTCACATCACAGGTGATGCAGACACTGGGAACCCTTGCTGAAATATGTATCATGCTGCTTATACTTTGAAATCCTAGAAAGGTAGGCCAAAATAAATTTTCTTTCTTTATAAAGTTAGCCTGTTTTAGATATTTTGTTATAGTAATGAAAAGGTGACTGATACACACAGGCACGCAAACACACATGTACACTGTGTCTGTGTGTATGTTTGTGTGTGTCTATATTCAGTGATTCTCAACCATAGAAGATTTTTGACATCCCAGGGATATTTGGCAATGTCTGGAAACATTTGATTGTCATGATTAGGAGGTGCTGTGGCATCTAGTGAGTAGAGACCAGAGCAATGCTAAACATCTTATAATGCACAAGACAGTTCCCCAATGTCAATAAAAATAAAGGAATTATGCAGCCAAAATATCAGTAGTGTTGAGGCAGAGAAAGCCTGATAAATATATTTAAATATTTTTAGAATTGTTCATATCAGCCGGCGCTGCGGCTCACTAGGCTAATCCTCCGCCTAGCGGCGCCGGCACACCGGGTTCTAGTCCCGGTCGGGGCGCCGGATTCTGTCCCGGTTGCCCCTCTTCCAGGCCAGCTCTCTGGTGTGGCCAGGGAGTGCAGTGGAGGATGGCCCAAGTGCTTGGGCCCTGCACCCCATGGGACACCAGGAAAAGCACCTGGCTCCTGGCTCCTGGCTCCTGCCACCGGATCGGCGTGGTGCGCCGGCCGCAGCGCACCGGCCGCGGCGGCCATTGGAGGGTGAACCAACGGCAAAGGAAGACCTTTCTCTCTGTCTCTCTCTCTCACTGTCCACTCTGCCTGTCAAAAAATAAAAAAAAAAGAATTGTTCATATCTAATTTATAATTTCCATTATATGATTTTTCAAAATAATTTTTTTCTTTTCAACTTTTATTTAATAAATATAAATTCCCAAAGTACAACTTTTGAATTATAGCAGCTTTTCCCCCCATAACCTCCCTCCCACCCGCAACCATCCCATCTCCCAGCCCCCTCCCATCTTATTCTTCATCAAGATTCATTTTCAATTATCTTTATATACAGAAGATCAACTTATATACTAAGATTTCAACAGACTGTACCCACAAAGACACACAAAGTTAGAGTACTGTTTGAGTAGTAGTTTTACCATTAATCATCATAGTACAACACATTAAGGACAGAGGTCCTACATGGGGAGCAGGTGCACAGTGACTCCCATTGTTGATTTAACAATTGACACTCTTATTTATTACGTCAGTATTCACCCGAGGCTCTTGTCATGAGCTTCCAAGGCTATGGAAGCCTCTTGAATATAGAATATAGAAAATGATTATCAAAAATAATTGAGATCCCCTTCCAAAGTATGTGTGTGTGTATTATCTACTTAACATAAAATGTACAGCACATAATTTACTGTTAATAATAAAATATAAAGCCCTCTTTATTATAAAATCAAAAAAATTGATTCTCACAGAATGTTGATTTTCCCTTTCAAACTTTTGTGTTCATAAACAAGTTGTGGTCGCAGGTGATGAATGAGTTAGTTCTTCTGACCATGGGTTTTCACTATATGGATTTTGATAAGGGTTATGTTGAAACTATAGATTGGACTGGGTAGTATTTCATCTCAACAGAATGTCTTTGTGTTTACTTAGTTCTTAATTTCTTTCAATCATGTTTTATAGTTTTATTTGTAGGAGATTTACATTCTTTCATTACATTTGTTCTAAAGTTTACAATAGTGAGAGATATGAAAGTAAAACAGTGAGGAGATATGAAGAAATTTTGTCTTTTATTGATGAATTTCAGCAGTTTTTTTCCCATGAATTGGATGGTAATTTTTGAATACTGATAATATTCCCTCAACTTTTTGTGCTACTCACATTGTAATGGATACATACATAATACAATTTTATGTTTAATCTGTATTACTGATAGTCTCACTATTAGCAAAACAATAAATTAAGATCTGATTAAAAGATAATGGAATGGAAAATGACCATTTCATCCATATACTGTACATATACAGTAAATTTTAAAGTAATCACAGACTATTAAAACTATAGTAATACAACATTCTTAAACATTTGTTTGAGAAAGATCTAAAACAAAGTTTAAAAAAACCCATATTTGCAG